TAACAGCCCAAGGTCACCCTGCTGGGATGCCGCAGAGGCGGCTTGGATCCCAGGTCTGTTGGGCCCTCCCCACTCTCAGTGCTGCTCCGTGGCAAGCCTGGTGCTCAGGACTGCCCACCTGGACCATGGCGCCCACGATCTTCCGAGCTTCCTGGTAGAGGCGCTCTCCGTTCCAGTGGGGGCTCAGGCGCTTGAGCTGTGTGGCCAGTCTGTTGTGCTCCCGCAGGAAGAGGGTGTGCATGGAGGTGAGCTCAGGCATCTCACTGGAGCGGGTGTCCCCTTGGGAAAGCAAAAGCCACCATGGTTTCTAAGACCCCCATCCCAGGAAGGACTCGCTCCATGGAAACGCCCTCCCCAGCCAAGGCCTAAAGTGGCCTCTCCTACAAACCCACCCCTTCTCCCTCCCTCTATTCCCAGGCCACACCACTCGCTCTTGGAAGTGGCCCCTGCGGCTCCAGTCTGCCAGAATCACTTCTTCTGCTCCAGCTCAGTACTGTTGGGCATGCTGGGTGTCATCGGCATCACATCGGACACAGGCTCTGCTACCTTCCCATACCTGAGGCTGGGAGATCCTTGGGGACAAGGATCATGGCTTATGCCCTTTGTATCTGGACTCCATCCCTGCACACACAGGCTTTCCCATGGTGAGGGCCTCGAGAGAGCCATGGCCATCTGACCAGAGTTGCCCTCTCCAGCCCAACTGCATGCTACTCATACAGCCTGCTCTGAAGGAGGGAGCGGGGACCTAGGATGTTCGTTGCCCCCCCAGGAAAGGGACCCACTTTAGATGGACACTAAGTTTAGTCCAAGCCAGCTTGAGAGGCTGAGCCCGGCTTCTCTATCCCACCAGCATACAGAGGTCACAAGGATATAGGCCCGGGATGTTCAGCATTTCAACACCAGGCTGGAGGCAGATCAGAGGAGGTCAGCCCCCTTCCCAGGAAGCTCCCATTTGAAAATATTAGAAAATTCCAGGAACGACCACCACCATCATCCCAACCATATCAGAGGGCTACTAAGGTTCAACATAGACCCACACTCAAGCCCACTGCTGTTGAGGGTGGCTCACCGTGTCCCGATAGGACATGGTAGAACTGCCCCTGAAGCTGTAAATCTTTGTAGTTTTCCTCCCACGCTCTGGTGACTCCAACCTGCTGACCTTGAAGATAGCAGGCCAATGCTTAACCCGCTGTGCCACTAGAGCTCCTAATCAATATGGGTAGGAGGGGATATTCCAGAGTGGGCCTGTCCAGCAGAGCCCCTGCCACGGTGAGACAGTCCCATGCCTGCAATGCCCAAGACATGGTTCAGGGCCAGAGCCACTGGCCAGATGAAAGGGTTGAAAGCACTCAGCAGCCGGTTCAAACCCACCCGTGGCTGCACCAGAGAAAGATGTGGCCGTCTGCTTCCATAAAGGTTCACGGTCTAGGAAACCCTATGGGTCAGTCCTACTCTGACCGAGGGTCACTATGAGTGGGAACTGATTTGACGGGAGGCGGTCTAGTTGAGTGCTGGAAATAGTGCTTAGAGCATCTTAGGGACTGACATTTTAATTTCATTTCAATTAAACTACCTACAGGGGCTAAGGGTTACCCTACTGGCTGGGTGGCTCTAGTGGGTGATGGTGTGCCATTGCTCTCCGTACGTCTAGGTTCCTGTCCCTTTTGCCTCCAGAGTCCAAAGAGGAAAACGATGACAGAGAAAGGGGTGGACAGATGGACAAAGGAGCCACAACCATGCCTCTGTCTCTATCTTGGGATTGTAGTTTTATTTTTGGCCTTTCTGGCTCCATCCACCTCGTCACCAAGGCAACTGATTAATACGGTGAAGTTGGTGAGGACTGAGTCTCTCTCAACGGAAAGGCACAAACGCTCACAGCAGGCTGACTGTGACCCCCCCTGAGCACTTCCCACCAGGGGAACCCCCCCTACCCCCCTGAGCAACCCCAGATCCTAGCCCACCCCACCCACGGGGGAAGGGGGGAGGGTGGCAAGCTAACCTGCCAGGAAGCAGGGGATTCCCGCCGAGCGGTTGGTGAGGAGGCAGGGGTCGTCGTGCAGGTTATCGAAGGGCAGCAGGCCCCGTCCGTTGTCGCTGAAGCGGTCATTGACCTTCAGCAGCCCCAGCTGGTTGGTCAGGTTGCGCAGGTCCCTGCCCAAGGGGTCCTCACTGCCGTACACCATGCTGGCATCCAAGAAGGAGGTGAGCGCATTGATCTGGTTGCGGATGGTGATGTTGCCCCCGGTGCAGGCCGGGCAGGAGCGGAAGAAGGGGATGCAGTCGGCTTGGTTCTGGATTCGGGGGTCATTGGGCGGGATCTGAGGCACAGAGAGAGGCCAGGGCACTCACGGAGGGCCAGGACGGGGTCGTCGCTCTCCCTTGCCCATGCTATTGAGGGCCTTGACCCCCACCTAGGAAGCAGCACTGGAGCCCAGAACCAGAGATGGGAAAGGAGACCTCAAACCCTTGGAGCCCTCCCCTTCCCTCCCCCATCCTCTGACTCCTCTCTCTTCCCAGGGTTTGTCTCCCTCTGGCTCCTCCTCATTTTCCCTGCCTCCGTCTTCCTGCCTCTTTCCCTTGACTCCCCCTGCAGTCTCCTCGTTCTCCCCCTCCCCCCTTCTCTCTGCACCAGCTTCAGACCAGCCACGCCACCCTCACCCACCCCCGGACACCCCTGGACACGGCTCTGCGCAAACTTGAAGCAGGGAAAGGCACCCCTCTAGGGGAGGCTAGTGGGACCCTGGGAAGAGGCCCCTCCCCAGCATTTACTGCCCCACCTAACAACAGCAAAGCCAGGTCCCTGTCATGGAGTAAATCCCAGTGCATAGTCAGCCCTGTCTGCCTAACAGGGCTCTCTGTTACCTAACTCCAACCCAAACCCACTGCCATGGTGTCAATTCTGGCACTTAGTGACCCCACAGGGCAGAGTTCAACTGCCTCTGTGGGTTTCTGAGATGGTAACTCTGTAAGGAAGTAGAAAGCCCCACCCACCCACCCCATCCACCTTGCACAACCCATTCAAAACCAGGCCCAGAAGAAACAGTCCCAAAACCTCAGTGGTGTAGTGGGTTAAGGATGGGCTGCACTGGAGATCCCCTTGCAGAGGGATCTCGGGGAGGAGACGAGCCAGTCAGGGTGCGATGTAACAACAATGAAAAATACAACTTTCCTCTAGTTCCTAAATGCTTCCTCCCCGCTCCCACTACCATGACTAGAATTGGACCTTGCAGGTCTGGCTAGACCAGAGGAGGTATACTGGTACAGATGGGAACTGAAAATCCAGGGAATCCAGGGCGGATGAGCCCTACAGGACCAGTGGTGTTAGTGGTGAGACAGGGAGGGTAGATGGAGAGTGGGTGGGAAAGAGGGAACCGATCACAAGGGACTATATGTGACCTCCTCCCTGGGGGACGGACAGCGGAGAGGTGGGTGAAGGGAGATGTCGGACAGGGCAAGATATGACAAAATACCCATTTATAAACTATCAAGGGCTCGTGAGGGTGGGGGTGCGGGGAGGGAGGGGAAAAATGAGGACCTAATGTCGGGGGTTTAAGTGGAGGGAAAATGTTTTGAGAATGTAGTACAAATGCGCTTTACACAATTGATGTGTGTATGGATTGTGATGGGAGTTGTATGAGCCCCTAATAAAATGTTTTAAAAAAATAAAAATTAAATTAAAAAATTTAAAAAGGATGGGCTGCTAGCGGCCAGGTCAGCAGTTGGAAACTACTAGGTGCTCCATGGAGAAAAAGGAGGCTTTCTAATCCCCTAAAGAGTTCCTCTCGGAAGCCCAGGGAGGCAGTTCTACCCTGTCCCTTAGGATTTCGGGTTAGAATAGACTGGATGATGTCACTTTGTCTGGCGGGAGAGGAAGACTCGCAGGGCATCCCTGGCAGACTTGAGTGTGTGGCTGCGACCGGCTCTGCCTCCTCCCACGCCGGAGACCTGCCCGAGAACGCCGCACCTTGAGCGGGAAGCAGGGCGGCTGCTGTAGGCAGCTGGTCTCGCAGTTGAGGCCGGTGATGAAGGAGACGCGGGCGGCCGGCTCGGGGGTGAAGTCCAGGTCATGGTCGATCAGCTGCCCCCACTGCATGAACATGAGCGAGCGCTGCTGGTCCGGGGTCAGCTGCTCCGTGGGGAAGCGCACGATCGCGTTGGACACCGCGCGAGCCTGCGGGGGACAGCGCGTCAGGCGACCCCCGACGGATCCCGCGGGGCTCGAGGACCCGCCTGGAGCCCTCCGGCCCGGAGGCCAGCGCTCACCAGGGGCACTGGGAAGCCGCTGCGGTTGACCCCGGGTGTCCAGCCGAAGGGCAGGGAGAAGCCGTCCTCATACTCCGCGGGCAGCCAGCGCACAAAGGCGCGGTTGGAGGCCCCCAGCGTGGGGCTCCGTCTGCAGGAGGAGGGGATGCAGGGGGTGGGATGTGACCACGCTTAGCGCTGGGTGGTGCCCCACAGGACCCTGGACCCCAAGGCCTCCCCAGCAGGCGTCACCTGTTGTTGCACTTCCCGGTGATGGTGCGGTACTTGTCGTCCGCCGGGCAGGTCACGCCCACGTCTTGGTAGGCGCAGCCGCTGGTCTTGGTGAGGAGATTCAGCTGCGAGGGGGTCAGCATGTCTGTGGGCCGGGGAGAGAGGTGTGGGAACTGCGCACCTGACCCTCACTCCCTTCACCTGCCAGACTTCCCTGTGGGAGGTTGGGTACCTGAAAGACCCTGGGGGGTGGGGGGGCTGAGGACTTGGAGAAAATCCTAGGAAGCCCCAGGGATTCCCCAGAGGGAGGAGTTGGGGGTCCATAGGTGGGAGATGGCAGAGTTATTAGGAAGGGTCACTAGTAGAGCAGGGCTGGGGCGGAGGGGCACCGGTACCAGTGACATTGAAGGGCCTGGGCCACAGGGGCCGCAGCTTCAGCTCCAGCAGGCCTAGGGCCACGTGCAGGTAGTCCGCAGCCCTCACTGCGGTCCTGGTGGCCGCCACCGGCTGCTTGAAGTAGGACAGGAGTTCCATGGGGCTGGCCGAGCCACTGCGAAGACGCTGCTTGATGCTGCCCAGAAAGGGAGGGTGCAGGGTGACCACACAGACAATCCAGAGAGGTCGCCGGCGGAGAGAATATGGGTTCCATGTATAAACAGTGTCGGTAAGACAGACAGGGCCAGTTTGGGAGAAGTTCTCACACCCAGAAACCCAAGAACTGACAGACAGATGGGCAGAGGGTCCCCTGATCCTGTGCCAGCCCAGCCTCCCCTGACACATCAGCCCCACCCTCCTGCTCCCAAGGGTGGCTCCCGCTCCAAAAGGCCCAGGCCCAGTGCTGGCCCCCCACCTCTGCCTCCGCTCCTTGTATGCCTTGTCCACAAGCTGCTTGGCCTCCTCCATGCAGCTCAGCACCATTGAGGTCTCCAGCGGCCCCGGGAGAGCTGCCCAGAGCAGAAGTCATGCGGTCAGGGTATCCAAAGCCCCCCATGCAGAGCCCAGAGCCAAGGAGGCCTGCCTTGAGGAGAGGAGTCCCTGAGATTCAGAACCACCCCCAAACCACCTGTCCCTTCCTGGCTGCACCGTTACCTGGAGCGGTACCCTCAGCGGATGGGGGTATGGTCAGAGTGGCCAGGAGCCCCGCCAGGGCCAGGAAGAACTTCATCTCTGCAAGCAGGCCCGCAGCCCAGTCAGTGCCTAAGTCCACAGTGCATGCAGGGGGGAAAGCAACCAAATCCCCTCCTCATCGACTCCCCCCACCCCTCTCCACAACCTGGTCCCACCTCACCCAGCCCAGGATCCAGGCCTCCTTGAGTGAGGGGTTCACCGCGCCCCCCGCCCACCAGCTGCAATCACCCAGCCCCCAAGACCCCACCTGCAGCTCCCTTGGTATTAACACACCTCACCACTGAGTTTGGGCTTTTATGTCTACCCAGATGGAAGGGGAGGTGGGGCAGAGGAAGACCCGCCCCCAAGGACTGAATTCTCCTCCCCCAGGTCTACTAGGTCACACGGGATCGATTTGAATGGAAACTCACCCCGCTTGGGCACCAAACAGAAACAAGCACAACTGGGGTCGGGGTGCGAAGAGAGGCACAGATGTCGGGGGTAGAGGCAGGAAAGGAGGCCCCAGAGGTGTTCCCAGGCTCTGAACATAGCTCCCCTAATCCAGGGTTTCCCGTTGTAGTATGCTTAGACCAGAACGATCATATAAACAGGTGATGTCCTCACACATTCTGAGTACACAGAGCACCCAGGATGTCTTTGAAAGGGACCAAAGCAGCCAAGGAATACTGAGGAATGGAAGGACCTCTGGGGGCGGGGCTGGGGGTGGGAGTGCGTGGCTGGTCAGGACTGATGATGACCTGAGAAATAGGGGATTGTCCCCACAATAACCTGTCCCAGGGACCCACCCTGGTGGGCAGCCCCACGTTTCATCCAGGGCTAAAGGGCAGGAAATCTGACGAGAGACCGTTGGGCTTCACAGGAAGGAGGACTCTGAGGCTCGGGACCAGGGAACTTCCTCTCGCCGACCCAACCTCCCTTCTTTGTTTTTGATGGGGAGCTGTGTTCACATCCCACCATCTGCTCTTGGGTTTCAGCAAACGGGCCAGAGCAGAGCTGGTTGTGGTTAGTGGTGGGGCGGATGACAAAACCCAGGGCCTCTGCAGAAGCAGATCAGCGTGGCGGAGAGAATCTGGATTCCACTTGAGGCTCTTTGTGAAATAAGAGAGGAGGGGACTGGCCAAGGGCCTTTTGTGCTCACACAGGAAAAGTATCCCAGACCTTATGACTCTGCTCGTCTACCTTCCGGGGTGATCAGGCAGCTGGGCAAATGCCAACCAAGGCTTGCCTTGGCCTAGCCACACCTCTCACCTCCAGCCACCTTCTTAATGCTCACCCTTGCCTCCCACACCCAGACTACACCTTGACCAAGGACCAAAGTAAAACCCCGCACCTGAGGAAGGTGGCCAGGATGCCATCGCCTGCTGGGAAGGGTGGCCCAGGGGCCCATGAGAGAGACGACCATCCTTCCAGCCTTGCTGTGCCAGGGGCTTGCTGTGGGTGACCGTGGACAGTGACTCTTTGTGAATCAGGAGAGAGTGGCTTTGGGATGAGCTACTCCACACAGGGCTTGTCCCACACCTTACCCTCCAGCGCCACATCCTGGAAGCACCTTTGGACGGCACTCCGAAGAGTCAATAGCCGTTTGAAGGATGTGACCCCATTGACTTTTCTCAAACACCCCTACCCCCAAGGTGAAATCCAACTGCGGGAAATCCTGTGGGATAACGGGTTTTCTCTGCTACCGATTGCAAACAACTTGTTCCTTCTTAATGTTCTTTGGGGCAAAATTCCGTTAGAGCCAGGTTTCCTGTGTGTGGGAGAGAAAGAGGCAGCGCTGCAGGCTCTTGAAATTGAGGAGGGGGAAGGGTCCTGACTCCCCAGACATGCCAACCAACTGTACCCAGATCCTTAACCTTGTCTTCTCTCCCCAGATTTTTTTAATGAATTTTGAATTTTACAGGCAATAACTGGATATATTCTGTTTAGAATTAAAATATCACAGATTAAATTAAAGCTCCCAACTGCTCACCACAAGGTCGGCAGTTCAAACCCACCAACTGCTCTGTGGAAGAAAGATGTAGCTATCTGCTCTTGTACAGATTTACAGCCTCAGAAATGTTATAGCAGGTCGCTATGCATCGGAACCGATTCTGGGGCAGTGAATAGATAAGGTTATACCAGCATCCGCAATTCCAGTACCCTGCCTTCACTCCTTACACATAAGGGTAGCATTCCTCATATCCCTTGTGTCCACCCTTTCAAATGTTTTGTTTTACATCCATCTATCCATATATATATATATATATGAAATATGTGGTTCTCTTCCTACCCACCCCCTTTCTCTCATAAATGCCACCACACAATACATATTGTTGGCCAATATGCTTCTTTCGGGCAATAGCATACTTGGAGATCTACTTGCGTCCTGTGTAAGGGGTTAGCGCGGGGCTGTCCATCAGTTCTCTGAGGACCTATGTGTGACAGGGGAAGGTTTCTGGGCTGCCATCTCAATGGCCCTGCTGGGTGAGTTCAAACAGCCAATCTCTAGGTTCACAGTCCAGTGCACATGGTATACCACTTTGATTTTCTTAGAGGGTGCTTTCAAACATTACACAATATTCCTTGGTGGAAGGAGCCTGGTGGCTCTGGGGGTAAGGCATCGGACTGCTCACCGAAAGGCCAGCTGCTCCACAGGTGAAAGAAGAAGTTACCTTGGAAACCCAATATAGGTGCTCTATACGTTGGAATAGACGTTGGATACCTGTAGTTACACTCCTATTGGGGGCGTGTTTCATTATGCTAATGAGACAGTCTTAGTGTGGGGTATGTTTTAAGGCCATCTTATTTTAAATATGAAAGAGTGGCCTACACCAGGAAATGGGAAGAGTCATTAGTGATACATGATCACCAAGGAATAGGGAGGCGATCAGGACCTCCCCCAGAGCCCACGGAGATAGGGGGAAAGCCTCTTCTGAGCCACGGGCCTGGATTTGGTGAGAAAATAAATGTCTGTTCTTTAAAACCACCCACCTGTGGATATCTCCCTTACAGCAGTACGAGATAACTAAGACATAGTGTCAGGTAGGAATCTGACTGCATTTTTCCCCAAGTGGGTAATATCTGTCCCAGGTCTTTAGTTGAATAATCTACTATCCTGTCACTGAATTGAGACATTATTTTCATCACTTCTCAGAAACGTGTGCATGTGCGGGTCTAGATTATTCAACTCATCTACTGGACAGTTTGTCCGTTCCTGTATACAGACCTCACTATTGAAATGAGCATAGCTTTCTAATATATTTTTATTTCTGCCTCATTCTTTTCCAAAAGAATCTCCAGTAACATATTTATTCTCTTATTTTATGAATTTTGGAACATTTGTCTTACTCCATGAGAAATCCTGTTGAAATTGTAATATCACATTCAATTTGCACATAAATTTGGTGACAAGTAATATGTATATGATCTTAAATCTTCCTATCTATGTACACTCAATCATTTAGTATATGTTACTTGGGAAGCCTTTATGTACACATTGTTCTGGGAACTGAGGGATACAGCAATTTTAAAAGCATGTGCTCTAAATAAACCCCTCAGGAACAATAATGGGAGTATCCATACCACAGGGTAAGGGGAGGGGAGGGAGAGAAAGGGGAACCGATCACAGAGATCGACATATAACCCCACCCACCACCGCGAGGGGGATGAACAACAGGAAGATAGGCGATGGGAGACAGCAGACGGTGTAAGATATGAAAATAATAATTTCTGAATTATCAAGGTTTCACCAGGATGGAGGGGGTGGGGGAGGGAGAGAAAAGAGGAGCTGATACCAAGGGCTCAAGTAAAAAGAAAATGGTTTGAAAATGATGATGACAACATATGCACAGATCTGCTTGATACAATTGATGGGTGGATTATTATAAGAGCTCCCAATAAAATGTTTATATTAAAAAAAATCATGTGTGCTCATGGAATCTACAGTGTTGAGTAATATCTATTTAGGCCTTTTTAAAAATAACTTTTGTTTAAATGCTTTTTAATCCATAAAGAGCTTGGTATTTCTTGTTAGATTTATGTCCTTTTTAAAGCATGTAGGTAAATTGGTCATTAAGCTTTTTCCAAGGTCAAAATGTGTGTTTTTTTTTTCAGGATCATAATTTATTGTAAAACTGAGTGAGGTAGGTAGTTTATTGTGCCAACCTGGCTAATAAACACATGTGGGATTAATTGAAGGGTGGAGAGCTAAATGGCCGGTGAGCCTCGCCTTTCTTGTCTCTTGCTCTTTGATCATCGGACCAGTGTGCGGCTGCCTTGCTTGTTCTGTGCCTCAATTTGCAAGCTACACTACCTGTGGGACACCTAACCTGTGGACTGTGTCACTGTAATTTGAGGTTCCTTCAAGACCTGCTTTGCCACACCATTGGAATTTACATCTCTTGAGCTGGGGACTGTTGGACCCTGTCATCTGGCTGACTGTTGGTGACCTGCCTTGCTGTTTTCTGCCTGTGCCCGGATAGCCTGAATTGCTCTACAGAGGACTACCCAGCAACCCTCAAGACTTGAAGGACTGCCAGTGTCTCATGGGAGTGAGTTGCACTGAGCCATTTGTACTGCCTTATAATTTAATTAACTGTTTATTTCTTATGTTATATATCTATCTATCTGTATAAATATATATAAAATTCTTAGCATTCTGGTTTGGTTTCTCTAGAGAACCCTGTCTAACACACAGAGAGTCACATGATGAGTTGACCGTCTCTTCTCCAGGCATGCGGACTTAGTAGCTGAGAATCCGTGTAGGATGCTTCCACAGCCGGAGTGTTTTAGACCTGCACTTGAAGGACAGGGCAAGTGAAGCAATCCCCCTGTATGTGGCATCTGTGAGAATTCAAGAGTGGAAATGTTTTTTGCTATCAGTGAGCTGGAAATGAGCACCCGTTTCTGGACCTGCCACGATTCCAATCTTGCCAAAGCCACAAATCCCACGGCCAGTGAGTGTCCTTCAGTGTCTGCAGCCGCCACTCGCCTGAGCCGGAAGAAGCCACCTCCCCCACGCACCTCCAAGGTAAATACTTTAAAAGACTTTATTTTTTCGTATGCTATCCTTCAGTCAGCTTTCCTTTGTAGGCAGAGCATAGATGTGAAAAATCATTGGGCATTTCCCACCCAACCTTCTGGAAAGATTTCACCGCTATTAAATAAAAAAGGTGTAGTTTTTAAGAAGCGTGAACATTCAACTTCTGTTAGTTTCCAATAAAGATATCCAAACGTGTATCGGGGAGTATCGCAACAGTTAAGACCAATGCAATCCCATGACTATACGAATGATTCACGGTCATTTGGTTAGCCCCTTGCGGTTACTGGAGAGAAAACCGTAAACTCCTATGAGCCAAGGTTCTATAAAGACACTAGACGCAGAAAGCATCAAACCCAAACAACTCCGCAGAGTGTTTTACCAATCAGACTGTTACCAACAAAAATGCCTGATGGAGCCCCACGCCAGTCGGAATATTAAAAAGTTTGTGTAGATTGCCCCTAGGTTCCCAGGATGACAGGATGGCGTCACTCTCTGTGAAATCTATAACACACATTGGTTCAGATTCTGCAATTCTGCTTTCAGATAGGCATTTCTCCTCCAGGTTCTTAGAAAAACACGAAGGCGGGTCAAGAAGGATTGCTACTGGGGTTCCAGGCCAGGTACAGGTACAGGTTTATCCAGAACAAGCCCCGTTCGACATGACTCTAGCTGCGGATAAGTTCTCTCGGGAACACACGAGTCCCAATAAAAGATCCCATGACAACAGTATCTTCTGAAGGGGTCGCTGGGCCAGTTAAATTCAAGGTCAGCTCTGTGGGGACGGCTGGTGTCCTCTTCGACTTCAAAGGGTGATCTGGACAAGTTTCCCTGCAGGACACAGGGCTGTCATGGTCATGGGGCTTATGATGAAGTTTTAAGAAAACTGGAACCTGCTAGGGGAGAGAAACTCTAGGGAAACGGAGGAATTTGGGGCCAGCACAGCAATAGTCCTGCCGATTGTTCCTGGATAGCAAAGGCTGTCCTACGAGAACTTCATTGGGAAATCTCACCGAATCCACCCTACATCCTTGATCTTGCCCCTTCGGACCTCTTTTCATTCCCCGAGCACAAAGAACATTGAAAAGGAGCGGGATCTGAGTCCCTTAAGGATGACAAAACTGCTGCTTTGCTGCGGTGTGACTCCGAAGTGGAAAGATTCTCTGGGGAGGAGGAGAGAGGGGGAATGCCACTTACGGAAGTGTACAGACCAGCGGTTCTCCACCTGTGGGTCGCGACCCCTTTGGGGATCGAACGACCCTTCCACAGGGGTCGTCCGATTCATCACAGTAGCAAAATGACGGTGATGAAGTAGCAATGAACATAATGTTATGGTGG